CTCCTTCTTCAACCTTAGATGTAATTGGATTAATACTAGCCTCAGGCATTAGTGTTTTTCTAGTCATTGTTTTCACTGTTATTAAGAATTTCATCTTATTGATCCCTTGACTTCACAAGCATTTTTGCAAGGCCACACTGTGGGCTATTGACACATCACCATTTTAGACAAGAATTCAGCTATTTAAAAAGTTTTTCCAGGTATAACTTTAATAAGAAAGCTATTGTGAACAAAATGGCAAATGGAAATATAAGTTATACTGAAAAAGAGAACTGAGTCCATTATTCTTTTTATGGAGTACAAATGACCACATTTTGGTAATTTTCTCTGTTTTTAATATATCTAGTACTGGCAAAAACAGCCTGATGAAAATACCTCAGAGACCAGCATTCTCTTTTCCCCAAATAAGGGTAATACTATCCACATTTTCCCAGGTCTCCTACTTAGAGAAAATTTTATTATTTAACATTTATCAAAACTGGTGCAGCACTGAGCGCTTAGAGAATACACAAGATATGTTCTCTGAACTATATCTTTCTCATGAGCATGAACACTCCCAAGAAGGCCAGCCAATAACAATTGTACAGTCCATAGAGAAGAATTAGTGGGCAGAGACTACTCCAAGGATTGCAAAGTCATAAGCCTACTGGGGCCAGGCAGATAGAATTACTGAGCAGAGAAGATTCAGTGCCTGCTTATTAAACACATCCAAATAGTATTCATTATGACAAATAAATATCTTCTTTTTCATGTTTTTATGCTTACATGATTCTCTGCATAAATTTATTTTTTCACTTTTGATAAAATTAGAATTTTAGAGAAATGTGTCTCAAACTAAGAAAACAACATGCAAAGCATATTAACAAATGATTACAGTGCCCTGGCCAGTCAGCAGTTAAAGTGTTGGCCCTCAGACTGATGGGTTTGATTCTCAGACAAAGGCATGTACCTGGGTTGCAGTTTGGATGAGTGACCCATTGATGTGTATCTCTTGCATCAATGTTCCTCTCTCGCGCTCTCTGTCTCACCCTCCCTTCCACTTTCTCTAAAAATCAATGGAAAAATATCCTCGGGTGAGGATTAACAACAAAAAAATGATAAAGCAAAAGTCATTTGTAGCAAATAATATAATTATACAGTAGAAAGTGGCTGGAGATTTTAATTTTTACATGACACATGAGTTTAAACATGGCAAACGTTGAAAATTATATCGTGCAGATTATTTTGGAAATATAACATAATTTTTTATTGATTTTTTAGAGAGAGAAGAAAGGAGAGAGAGATAGAAATATAGATGTGATTGGCTGCCTCCTGCACACTCCCTACTGGGAATTCAGCCTGCAACCCAGGCATGTGCCTTGACCCTGAATCAAACCAGGACCTCCCAGTCCATAGGACGATGCTGCTCGATCCACTGAGCCACACAAGTTGGGAAAATATAATATATTTAGAAGCCAAGTTTGACCCTATGCTTCTGAATCAGTTTCTTTGGGTTAGCTTTTGTTTTTTTGTATGTTGGTTTTGAGATTATTGCTCATTCTCATTCTCATATGTTTACTTTTAGTCCATGTCTAAGGTCAGACTTAGCCAACCACAATTTAGAAGCTCTATAAATAATTCTTAATGCTCATCTAAGGCTGGGAGTCACTGGTATAGGCAGTTGGTTATGGTGGATGTGCCTCCTCCCGAACCCCACCCTCAGAGAAAGGGTTTGCTTCTAAAAGCAACAGCAACAACACATTCTTGATGCAATTCAGTACTGAACTGTGTGGCTGAGGTCCGTGGGTATGACTCATGATCACAGTGTGGCAGTTAAAATGTTGAGAATGCTAAACCTCAGCAGTTGCCATGTACCATGTTTGAAGTAAGACTACATTAATGACACGGGGATAGTTCTGTTGATGATAGATAAGGCCCTGTGGCATTATCCAATATATATATGTATATATCAGAGAAAAAATGTATATAATGTGACTGGGAGATATAAGCAACCTTAAGCCTACACTATTACATAATTTTGTAAGCAGAAGAAATTAAATAGATATTGTCCTATTCTTGAAGAAGCAGCCCTGACTTGATTATGTTTACCTAGTAGTTTTCTTTTTAATTTTTTTCTCCTTTTATTGATTTTAGAGAGAGAGGAAGGGAGAGGGAGAGAGAGATAGAAACATTGATGAGAGAACATTGACTGGCTGCCTCCTGCATGCCCCCCACTGGGGATCGGGCCCACAATCTGGGCATGTATCCTGACCGGGAATCGAACCAGCAACCTCTTGGTGCATGGGTTGACACTCAACCACTGAGCCACATCGGCTGGACTACCTAGTAATTTTCTAATTGTTAATTATATTTTGTAGATAATTCCTTATCTGGCAGGGGCCTAATGAATGTAAACATTATAGTCACTGGAATGTATAGACTTAATAGGTTGGAATTGGGAGTTATACATTAGTCCTCTATGAGCTTGGTTAATATGACTCAGACTTCAAAACTGATCAACTCCAAACTCACTGACAATATATGGGTCTCTGGTTTCAATGTGAAGAACAAACCCTGACTGGCCTGTGAGGCTCCATTTTAGGAAGCGGTGGAGGTGCGAAAGAAGCACATTCTGCTACACCACTCCGGCATTTTCTCATTTCAAAACCAATTTGGAAAACTGGTTTCAAAACTGTATGTTGATAGCAACTTTTTCTGTGATCCAAAGTCCTCAGAATTTTCCTTACATTTTTTTTCAAGATGTAAAAATTGAGTTGAAAAAAATCAGTTGAGTTTCCATGGAAATGGTGCCAATTAATTTTGTCCCCTGTTCCTCAGGGAAGTTCCTTGATTTAGTAACAGTGTAATGTCCTGGCAACCCCTTGGCAGTTGTGAACACAGAGCATCTGAAACACACACTTTCAGTGGGAAACAGTTGCCTTTCATCGTCCCTTTTCCTTTCATAGAATGAAAGAAATAACTTCCTTGACCGTTTTTTAGGGAACTTCTCTAGTCCTTTTAGACAACGTTGACTCTGACAAACATTTAATAAATGTTTTTATTTATTTTTGTTCTTTACCAAATAAAAAGATTCGTATTGGTGAAGCACTCATGCTTTTCCTGTTTTACCATGAAATCCCAGGATATCTGAGGAGTATTCATGAACTCAGAGATAAGCAGTTTTGATCACCTAGCATGTCCTATGGACTGGATGGTCATAAATATCTTAAAAAATTTACACAAAAATGGTTGGACACAGTAATCCCTTTTAGGTACTTATAATTCTTTAATTTAAAAAATATTTGCAATTATTCTCAATCATCTTCTTTTTCTCAGATTTCAGTAATCACAGAGGTTTTTTAACATTTCATAAAGAATATATTTCTCTAGTCCTTGCAATTTGAACAATATTCTTTTCCATTCTGCTGAATTACTGGTGTCCAGGGTTAAAGGAAACTAGGGAAACTGCTCTAAGTAATCAAAAACATCATCAAGAAGTTGGATTTAAATCTCTAGAAAGAAAAACATTTGATTAAAAATGTCAATATCCTAACCCTCAAAGAGTTTTAAAAATCTGTTAATCAGTACCTGGATTGCAGGTTCAATCTCTGGTCCAGGTCAGGATTGTGTGGGAGGCAACCAATGGATGTTCCGCCCACACCTCTTTCTCTCTCTCTTTCTCTCTCTCTCTCTTTTTCCTCCTTCCCTCGCTCCCTTCCACTCTATCTGAAATCAATGGAAAAATGTCCTCAGGTGAGGATTAACAATGACAAAAAAAAAATCTGGTAATCATTAACATTGATGAAATTTATTAGGTGACAAGAAATGAAGAGATATTAATCTCCCTAAATTTTATAATTACGTCCTTGTTTCCTTTAATTCTTTGTCCCATGTCCACCCACATATCATCAAACTTGTTCCTTCCCCATTCTTCTTTTGTCTTTGTTTTTTTTTATAATCCTCATTATAAAAACTATATCTGAAGGATAGTTTTCCATTTATCTTCAGATAGAATGGGAGGGAGGGAGAGGGAGAGAGGGAGGGAGAGAGAGAGAAACATTGATGTAAGAGAAACACATCGACTGGTTGCCTCCTGTATGACCCCAACCAAACCACAAACAAGGTACATGCTCTTGGCTGGAATTGAACCCATATGTCTTTAGTCTGCAGGCTGATGCTCTAATCATTAAGCTAAACTGGCCGGGGCACCAGTAACAATTTCAAGATACTAGTATTTTGGACTGAGGTTACTTCAAAGGTGGGTAGAGGTTAAACCATTGTGCATGTTCCTGGATTAAGGAGCCAGCCAGTGTTAGCTACCCCTCTGCCTTCTTTTACATTTTTCACTTTGAACTTTAACCAAGGTCTTACTATAAAAACAAACCATCATAATAAATAACTAGATTCTCTCTTTTCACTAGGAACCAAGTGTGAAAGTAAAACTTGAGGGCAAGCTGACTCTCTACAAGCAAGAGGAAAATAGTTCTCCGGTCTGAGATGTCTCTGTAGCAACAGTTTTTAGCTCTTTTATTCATAATAAATGATTACTCAAAAACTGTTGGATCAAGTGCTGAAGGCAAGAGAATAGTGGGCAAAGGGTGCACTCTTTGATCTGGAGTCAATGAGCACAGAAAGCCCAGGCTGGTCCCGTTTTGGGGGCAATCAATCATCTGCCCCTCCCTCCAAGTGATTTCAGAGGCTTCTCTTTAAAGGTCTATGAAAGCGTGGTCTCTGACGCATGTTCGAGAATTTGTCTTACTTGGCCTTCCTAGAGCACTGGTAACATCATCACCGTCACCACAAATATTCCCACAAGGTAATTTCTTGCCTTTGTTAATTAAAATATTTTTCTTGCATTCACCTTATTATGGCAAAATTATATTTGTGTAAGACAAAGTTCAGGGTGAAATTAATCAAATACACTTATTTACTTCTATCCCAAGAGACTTTATTTAGTATTCGTAAGACTTCTTTAACTCCCACTTAGAGATAATGAAATAAACTTAAGTATGTGGCAGTACCTTGTTTCCTGGGACCGTGGAACTTGTCACCATCAGATTGTCTTCTGGTTGCCTTTTGTTGAAACACTAAAAAAAATATAGCACATATTATTTATTGAACATAATTGTAAATAAGAACACACTCTGGAAGTCTCCAAGAAACTAGAATGCAACACATCATTTTCCTTTGTGACAAATCTTGAATTGTATTATTTTGGAGTAGGAGGATTATTAAGTTTACAATTTTCTCATTTGTGCAGCTTATCAGTCATTTCACAAGGCATTTTCTGTGGGCTGAGTAGTATAATGCTGATGGAATGCCTCATTAAACTACTTAAATCAAGATATGATTCCATTTTGAGATCAGGTAAAGATAAAAGCTGCATTTTGTTAAAAGTGATAAATGTTAAAATCATATGAAAAATTCTATTTGCACAGAAATTACTCATGCTGACTTCTCAGTGATAAGGAAGGATAATGACTGTTTCTTCCAAAACAGATGAAAAGCCTGCTGTATTTCACAGATGTAATAATAAAAAAGACACTTTACTCCTGCATCATCTAGCTGGACCTCAGAACTCTTATAGCAGCTTATTCAAATTACTTCATTATCTAAAAAGTGCTTTGTTCTCATTTATTATTTCTCACATGAAATTCTGGGAGACAAGTCAGCATTACTCATCTCATTTTGCAGATAAAAGATAAAATTGATTGTTTAATATTTATTGAGCACCCACAAAGTTCCCGATAGCTTCTGGCACTTGTTAATGAAAAAGTCTCTACCCTTTACAACTTGCCTTTAGAAACAGAATATTGCAGAGTTCCATTTCTTTTTCTTTTTCTTTTTTTTTTTATGAGTCGTTTGAATTACAGGGTTTGGGAAGTGGGAGAGGCCTTGGAGACCTAGTTCAAACTCAGACGTTTATAGATGAAGGAGGTGGAAGTAACTAAGTGGTAAAAGGGCTGATTTTGCAATGATAGTAGAGATGTGATTTAGACCTCAAGCGTTGAACTTTAATCTATTGCTTGGTTCTTTACAACACCGCCAGCCTCTTTGATTCCACAATTATTTCAGTTTAAAGATAAAGAAGGAGCTATAGGGAGGGGATTGAAAAGAACCTCAGAGCATTTTCAACATCCTTGTGTCTCTTGCTCTTCTTTGCTCACCAGGATTTCCTAGGCTCATGAGGCAGAGACACGTGGGAGTAGAAGCTGTCCCGTGGGATGGTGCTTGATCACAGTGATCGAGAGACCGTATATCCCAGCAGTTACCTTGGATCTCTGTCTTTGGGTTTAATATTCTTTAAACCCATACCAACGTCACATTAGGATTACTCCAGAGGACACCTTTTGTAATTTAAAAAAGTTCCCTAAATCATATCAAATCAATAATTATTTATTAAGCATATATAACTTGCCACCTGTTCCCTTTCAAACAGGAGAAGCAAAGATATTTTCAATGTATGATGTATTGAAAGAAAATTATATGCATGAAATATTTCTGGTTGAAAATCAATTTTCTGCTTCAAGTTAGTATTTGGAAAACATGCTAAATATAACTTACTGGCAAGTTCTGGGGTTTTTGGCTTACATTCCCCCCCCCTAAAATAAAATATACTGATAGATATATGGTCTGTGAATATATTTCAGGATATTAAACTAATTTTGAAAGTGTTGCTTGATTTTTTTTCATTGGCCAGTTCTAAAAGTCTTGAAAAACAAAACATGTTTGAAATTTTAATAACATGCACTCTTCCCCCAGTGTTGTTATGATAATAACTAAGACTATTTAGACAACAAAGCGGTAGTGTGTCATCATTAATCTGGAAAATAATTGGAATTCAAAGATAAACTCTGAAAATAAGTTCTGCAAATAAAACCTACATTCGTTGGTATGTTTTAGGATTCTGCTGAATTTTGAAGCTACAGAGAACTTGGAAATATAATTATTTTTCTTTTGCCTTCTGACATTAATTTGTTAAAAATCACTTTAAGCTATACATAATATATATTTTATTGAAACATGTTTTATTGATGACAAATGCCCAGCCTCTGTGAGATACAGCCAATGTTAAACCAATACTATTTTAGTTTAGAGATTAAGAAGTTACAAGTAGTATACTTATTTATTGTTGGGATTTTACCAGGATTTATAGCTGAAACAGGCTGGGAAAAGGTGGAGAATTGTGGTGGAAAAGTAGGATGTTCTGAGTAGGATGATTATGAAAGTACTGACAACAGAACTTTTTCAAAATAGCAGGTGCACTAAGCCACACCCACAGTACAAAGATTCTCTCTACCTTTAAAGCCTCCCTTAAAATTCTCTCCTACCTCACTTCCAGATGCACCCATTAAAACCGCTCCTTTCCTCCCCCCTACAGACAAGCAAGCCTCATTTCCTTACAAAAACCAAATTAGCAATTAGCATATTGCAAAACACACCAATTTCTCATTGCTGTAAAAACTAGGTGTTTTTGAATATGAGGTAATCTTGGAAAAGACCTACATTAATTTGTTTCCTGAAGAAAGAGCTAGCCCATCAAATGATCACTGATGCAAGCATGCATACCAAAAACATGAACTTTATTAGCCTTAGGAAAAGAATAGATAGATGTAACGTTCCAGAATTAGTTAATCATTCTTTTTACAGTAAATGCAAGCTGAAACATTTTAAATTGCTTCCACCAGCAAAATCTTTGTTCTTAAAAGCTTTATACACTTTATATTTACCACGTTCACCCACACAACCTTTATAAGATAAAATCTATGGCATGGTGAGAACTGAGCATTGGTTATAGGTCACTCAGATTTACATATGAAAGTACATGTTTTTGTACTACAAGATTTGTGCTAAGCAAGATGAGTTTGTTTTAAACATGTAGTAATTGAAAAAAAATCTGTATGCCAGAACGTTAATGTACTTGGCACAGTGGAAGGGCTATAGTTCTGTCTTAATATTAATAAGAGGTGTGACATGGGAAAATGGCTTTGTAATTTGTTTTGCCAATAAAGTTAGGGTGTAGATGAGATGAGCTCAAATATCTCAGTTGGCTCTATCATTCTAAGATGCTATCAATTTTTTTTTTTTTTTTTTTTTTTACCAAATGGTGCCTGAATAAGCCCTTAAGTGAGTATAAATTTAAATAGAATACTGTTTTCAGGAGGAGATTTTTTTTTTTTTTTTTTTTTTTTTTGCTGGGGGCTTAGAGTAAATAGAAAAACTGGAAAATTAAATCAAAGACCAATGTTAATTTTTTATAAAATATGGAGATGATCCTGTTCCTATGTATTTGAATTCTTGGAGGATACTGATTTTGTTGTTGTTGTTGTTGTTGTTTTGTTTTTACCACATTTGATTGTATTACTGTTCAAATAATGCTATCGAGGCAGTTATAACATACATCAACTTTGATGACCCTCTGCCCCAGTGAAATCTTATTTTTCTCTTCCTACTTAAGGTTGGAATTTGAGAAGGAAGAAAAATGAATGCATTATTAGTAGTTGCTACTGCTTTTAAAAATTAAAAGAAAGTCCATAGAGAAAGTAAAACAAATTTTGAGGTTCAAAATAATCTTATACAATATAAATGTCCCCAATACACCCTCATTTATTTTAAATATTGGCAGAATGACTTCTGTAAAGTTTTCTCTAAAATAGAAATGACATTGAATGGGGAAAAATCAGCATAGCATTAAATATTCAAAATGTTAAGCAAAGCAGAATTATCAGAAGGGAAGAGGGAGAGAAGGTGAAATATAATGAATTCACTTGCACTATTTGTCTTTCCAGGTTGCTTCTGTAAGAACATTCTTCATGTCAACCTCATTTGGAGTCTATTTCAAGCAAAGGGGCCCTTACAGAGCTGTTCTTCTTAGAAAATCTGATGAAGCTTATTTGGACTTATTTCACAGGTAGCTAAGGTAATGGAAAGTCTGTGCAATAGCTAAATGCATTCATAAAGATATGAATTATAAATGACAAACCCCTTTGATGTTTCATGCCCATTAGAAGTGTAAAGTGAAACATTTAGAGCAAAGTGTCTATCACTGATGATCATTCTTGAAACTAGAGGTTTGATATAAAATGAAACACGCAGATCTGTATTGTGCTCTGGGTTCCCAGAAAATGATACTGTACAGGCAACCTCACTGTGTTTATTATTCATTCGACAAACTTTCATTAGGTTGCTAACTCTGTAGCCAAGTGCTGTGTTAGGTCCTGAGGATGCAAAGGTAAATAAGACTCAGTCACAGTTTCCATATGGTCCTAGATGTTGAAGTATTCCTTTAAACAAAGGTCAAATGTATCATGAGTGCCTACTGATGAGAGAGGATAGAGAAAAAAAAATCAGAAAGGACAAGGGTCATGATGCAGCCCCCTGAAGCCTTACTCTCCATACCTTGTTTCCCCAATATGCACTATGCAAAAGCTACTGACAAACAAGGAGAATGAGAAGAAGGAAAGCAATACAAACAACCCCTTTGTCCAGCCAGCAAAGACAGGGAAGAGACTCTTCTAACCCTGTATGTGGTCATACTGACCAATCAAACTGAAGCTCAGAAGAGTGGTGTAGTCTCTTCTCAAATTGTCTAAGCTAGGAGCACTCCAGCTAGCTGAAAACCACATTTTATTTACTAACAATAGTTACAGGTTATTAATTTGAACAAATGTGTCAAACACAGGTTACCACATTTCACTAGTCACACTAGGGGTGACATGGCCACAGACAGTCACATTGGCTACATCCCATAATATAAACATCTTTCTCCTGAGAAGAGTTTACTCTCTGGCAGACATATAGAGTCAGGAATTGAGCATTTATTTATTTTTTTTAGGGAGAATTTGCAAATAGTAGCTAGCATGTGTGAAGTCACTCGTGTGATCACAGCTTACTATTGAGATTGGTAGAGATGAAAAGCTAAAAAGCATATACCTGCATGAAGGAAAATGGATAGAAGTTTTAATTCCATGGCAATACCAATGACTGCTTTGGTTTCATAAGGAGAAAACATTAATTTTCTTTCCAATTTGTATTGGAAATTTTGTCTCAGAAGAGTGTTTCCATAAAAATCCTCTCCCAAACCAGG